TAAAATAGTCTTTCTGGAGCATCCTTATCTGGGCCAATAATGAGGAAGGTTTCCAAGAATGCGGTATTTTAATTGGAGAAGAAGAAGGAAGAGGAAGACAAGGAAAAGAGGAAGAGGAGTGACTCAGATTCTTTGGAGCACTCACCAGCTATGCTCCAGATAGAGCAAGAACACTGAATCAACCCAGCATCACATCGCTCAGTGAAGCAGGCTAGGTTCCCAGAACTGCAAGTGCTCCAGTCTCTAAGGAAGGGCTTTTGGCCAAGATCGCCACTGGCCTGTCACTACAGAAACAGAGCCAACACATCAACACCTTGAGGCCAGGTGTTTACAACCAGTGTTCTCACCAAATGCTTCCTATAAACTATTACACGTGCCAAGCCCAGTGGGTGAAGTAAAGGGACTTCTCTCAGTAGGTCCCCAACTACTCCCCAGATCCTCACATCACATTTACACACAAATTCTTAGAGAAATGTCTGATTTCTCCCACACAGAACTGGAGAATTTGCTGCCAAATGAGAACACTGTGAGAGATAATACAGTTTGGGTCATGCCTTTCTGAGGACTCCCCTTCTGAGGACACCCCACTCAATCAGGCTGCCTATCACAGCAGTGCAGTCACCAGAGTGGCAGCAGCCCTAGGGCCCCCCAGCATCTCAGACAGGCCCGCTTCACAAGTTGAGCTGGTGAACTTGAAACTCAGAGTTCCTCATGGAAGAGCTACGTGAAAAGCAGCTGCAACGTGAAGAAGGGCAGCTAACAGCCAGCTTCCCCAAGTTAGGACACCCAGGCCCTGAGACGTAGAGCAAAGCGTGTGCACGCACACACACACAGACACCATTACACACCACATACACACACAGCACACACACACACACACACACACACCCCACACAGACACGCACACCATAGGTCTTCATCTGCCTAACATCTATCTGCCTGTCTAAAGAGCTTAGCATTACGTTCTTTAAGAGTCCGATCACCTTAAGTTCATTCCTATTACTTCTACTCCATAATTTTCTAGGGGATCATTAAGTATGAATTATTGGTACTTAAAAATGACAGGAAGGAACAAACACAATTTTTTTGCATTTCTCAAAGTATATTTGAATGTTATTAGTTATATATTCACTCATTTTTGTGTGTGTGTGTTTATAATGCTATGAAATTTACATCACATCCTTAGCTTTGGCTGATGACCACAACAGTCAAGATGCATAACTGTTCCATTCCCACAGGGCTCCTGTGTCCCCACTTAAATCCATACCCGCCCCTCCTTTTCCAGATGCTTACCTCTGGTAAATATTACTCTTTTTTCCATCTCTAGGATTTTATTATTTTAAGAATATGTGAGTGAATGTATACATCATGTAACCTTTTGAGAATTGCTGGGTTTTTTTCACATAACATAATTTCGTTGTGATCCATTCACTTTGTGCAAACCCTTTTCATGTTGTCTAATTATGGTAAAATATCCTTGATGTGCTCATAGAAATGGTAACTGCAGCTCCCCATGCTTATCTGCCTTCTGCTTGTATTTCTTTATGATAGCTTAGTCTCCATGGTCCTTCCATGATGAATCTGATATATTACAGTGCGTGCATATGGTAGATTTCTGAAGAACATTAAGAAGGATGTTTTGAAAGATTACTTAATATAATTTAAAACATTCAAATTGTGGTAAAAACATATATAAAGCATGACAACATTTTCATCTTTTATTTAAAGATAGAAAACTATGAAACAGTATATTAAATCTGATTACATATGGCTGGTGAAAGTAAAGATGATGTTTATTCTCTTGTTTTCTTTTCAAAATATTCTCCAAATGTTACTGATTACTGACTGAGGAATCTTAAAATTCTACTTTGAAAAGCTGACAAGACACACGTCTGTCCATTTCTCAATTCGTGAAATAATGGTGTTTTTTCTTTTCAGCATTTTTGGTCAGACACTAAAGGGGGCTGGATATATAATTAGCAGCTTTCTATTGCTATAGCTTTACATTTGATCACATCCCTTATAAAATTTCTCTTGAAGAAAACCCCAATAATAATCCTTGTCTTCACAGCACTAACATATGTACGTAGAAGACACAGACACCCAGTAGCCATATGTATCTATAAAACAGTCCACCAGTCTGGGCGCGGTATCTCACGCTTGTAATCCCAGCACTTTTGGAGACCAAAGCGGGTAGATCACGAGGTCAGGAGTTTAAGACCAGCCTGGCCAAGGTAGTGAAACCCTGTCTCTATTAAAAATACAAAAATTAGCCAGATGTAGTTGTGGGTGCCTGTAATCCCAGCTACTCGAGAGGCTGAGGCACAGAAGTGCTTGAACTCAGGAGGCAGAGGTTGCAGTGAGCCAAGATCATGCCACTGCACTCCAACCTGGGTGACAGAGTGAGACTCCATGTCAAAAGAAAAAAAAATTCATCAAAATTGGCAGATCATACTAGGGTAAAAAACAATCAGAAATGAGTTTGTCTACTATCCAAGAGCCAGCTGGATAGAAATCATAAAACTGGCCATAATATGATGAAATTTGAAGAAATTGATTATTATTAGAGAGGTGATAAAAATAATAGAACATAGTGATAATAATAGTACCTACCACTAAATTGTCATGAGAAAAACCTGAAATCAGAAACTGCATACGAAGTACTTAGCACGTGCTACAGAGAGCACTCAAAATAGTAAAGAAACACACGGCTAACCGAAGAGACAGACGCAAAATATCGAGTTCGAGTTGTTCACAGTGAGAAAGTTATTTGCTTCACCTTTGAAGTCTTTTATTTTTTCTTTATTTTAAGTGTGTGCCAGGAGTTTTTCGGACAAAGAAAATGCAAAATATACGATTTGAATGAAGTGTGTAGAAATAATAAGATGGGCTGATCCTGACGTTTATTCTTATGTGATGAAAATGAGAGTTAATCTAAGCAGAAATTGAGATCAGTGCCTAGTTGTTTGTGCTTTCTAAGACTTTCCTCTGAATTTAGTTAATACAAGAAAATAAATCTAAATACAAGAAATAGCAATATGTGGATTTGTTCATTTGTAAAATATTAGCATATATAGATATTTAGTATTCTATGTGAAAAAAATAAACATAATGTTACCTCCAATTTAGTTTGCTGTTAATGTGGTTGGCTGTTTAGAACAATAAAAAAAATTGCTCATGTAAATATCACATTTCTTCTGGCAACAAATTACCAAAATTGTGGGCTATAGCCTCATAAGAAACTGAATAGCTCATTTGCACTAAACTTCCCAAAGTGAGCAGACCTTGTAAATTCTACTTTTGTTTTCTCTATATGTTAGATCAGAATATTGAGGAGCATAATTTCAAGAGCTATGAGTAATGTAAAGTACTCCTGTATGCTTAGTGTTAATGAGATGAAGAAGGACGTATGGTAAATGATAGAATGAATCAGATACTTCTTGTAAGAATCTTTTCTGGATAGTGAATGTGCATAGGCTTTGTTTTCATTCCAACAAAGTCAGAAAGGAAGAGAAAGCAACACAGACAAAATTGTGAAAAATTTCGAAGAGAAAAAGCTATTTGAGTAGGGTGACTACAGTTTACAACAACATGTTGTATTTTTCAAAATAGTTACAAGAGAGGAATTTAAATGCTCCCAACAAAGAGAGAAATGATAAATGCTCAAGGTGATGAATGTCCTGAATTTCCTAATATCCTGACTTTATCAATACACATATGATACATGTAATAAAATATCACATTTACTTATATTTATACGTATTATGAATTAATAAATATATTTATAGGTATTATGAATCAATAAAAAATAACAAAAGAGAGTGTTCTTCTTTTCTATATTACTTATGTCCAAGCCACTCTCTTGTGGGAACAAATTTGGGGGGTGATGATGATGATGATAATGGTAGTGAGGAGGGAGACCCAGGCATTTGGCATTCCCTCCCCTTCTGTCATCTCTGTGCATCTCAATAGAAGAGAGATCAGCCCACTTGGCACCTCCTGAATCTCCTTCCTGAAAACAACAGGCTAGGCCTTGGGGAAACTCTCCAGAAGGCACTATTTTTACTTAAAACAAGATCAAACCAAAACCCTTTCATATGTGATTCCTGAAACTGTAAACAGAGACCTTTTCACATGTGAGTCCTAAAACTTTAAACCAGAACCCTTTCATACGTGACTCCTGAAACTATGAACCTAAGATTTTTCCACGTGTAACATCTAAAGTATAAGCCTATATAAAGGCTGAGCCTCCCTTTGTTAGATGAGCTTGGCTGTTAGGCACCTATGCCACCAAGACCCCAGCTGAAATAAATTCCTTCCTCCTGTATTCAGTGTCCGAGGGATCCTTTCCCACGGCTGCTCCTGCTACAGTAGTGGTAATAGTGGAAACAGTGATGATATGTTGCTGCAAATAAACCTCTATTAAATGACAGGTAATTATGTGTCAGGCATTGTGCCAGCAAAATTTCAGATAGTAATTCAATTTTATGCCTTAGACTAGCTTATTAAGTAAATGTTATTTTGCTCACTTTGCACTAAAGAGGTAGACATTCAGAGAGTTGAATAATATGTTCCTCAAATTAATGAAAAACCATTAAAGAAAATAAAAGGGGTTTAATATAATACAGAAATAATCTTTGGTATGAGCCAAATTGTGATATGCTGCCTGTGGATGAAAGGAAGATGGAAATAAACCCAAATGATTGTATAATATTGCTAATAAAGCAGATTTGAAGAGAACCAAGAGATCCATTCACAAATATATATTCATAGATACTTTATTCAGGGAGTGAAAGAAAAGTGACAATGGCACAGGTGGGAGAAGCTCATGCCCAGGTGACAGACAGACACAGAACACATCAACAGAATTCTCTGATGGTTCCCAGGGAGAGAGCTGCTGCTCTTTCTTCCAAAGCTGTGGGAGCTGGAACAACTGAGGACTTCCTTTTCTCAGTCTCCACCTGGATGGTGGCAGTATGACAGCCTCAGAAAGGAAATCTTTTGCTGTCAGGGATCATAACCAGCAGATCACAGGCAAAGGGGAAAGAAGCTCCCTGTGTATCCATGGTAGGCTTTGATGAGAAGATGCAGGTGGGGCTACAGAACGAGGTGAGCCAATTATCCTCATCCTTTCATGGGCCTGATGAATCCTGAAGCTGTTACTTGCTCTTGGGTGGACACTGTGGCTGGCAGGGTGGGGAAGGTGGCACAGGAGGACATTTCTGCTGGCACTGCTGAGGTGGGCAGGGCTCTGGACGCCTTGGTGGTGGGCAGGGCTCAGGACACTTTGGGCGTGGACATGGCTCTGGGCACTTTGGTGTGGGGCACACAGGAGGTGGCTGACAGGGCTGCTTACACTGCTGCTGTTGATACGACATCCTGCTGGAATCTCAGAATCTGAAAGAAATGATATGACAGTGTTCATGGGAAGGGACTCCTCCAGAGAGAGAAGCCAAAGCTTATGTAATACCATGGGATATTATTTCTCCAATCTGCAAGAAATTATTTAAACTCTTAATTCCCTTTTCAAGACTCCCTGGTGTCTCTCTTCCACTTCATCAAATTGCTGCATTGTCCCTGGGAAATCTTGTGTTTTCTCATACAATTTTTCCAAAGAAAAATCTCTGTGGTAAAGAACTAATCATGTTATTTCCATGAAAATAACATCTTCAAGAAAGGCAGTCACAAGTTCAGATACCCATGACAATCTCACAAGCTATTTCTATCATCATTATCTGTTGAAAATTCCCAGTGGGTTGATTTGGAAACAGAGCAAAGGGCTGTTTGTGAAGAACTGCAGTCTCTTACACCTGCTACGACATAAACCTTTGAAAAAGACACCAGAAAAGCAGAGAAAAAAGAAAAATACTTTGTTCTTTTTTTTCTTCAAATCAAAGCTTTCCACTTAACTTCTCTGTCCATATGAACACCTAACTGTACTGAAAGAAAGCTAAAATCGCATATCATTTGCTCTAACCTAAATTTTCATCCACTAAGTAGCATCAAGTCAACATTCATAGGATTGGAGCAACCAATCTTGCTGTATTCAGATTAAACTTAACATTTCAGGGCACACATCACAGAGGAAATCAAGGAAGCAGACTCATCAGGTTCTCCAAAGCAGATCGGTGCTCGGGAGTTTAGGAGTCGTGCAGCAGAGGATCTCTTTATAGGGCCTGCTGCCCCACCCAAGACATATTCCAGAATGAGATCCAGTCTCCCCAGCACATTTGATACTTGTCCCCATCAAAGATATATACTATGGTCTTTTTATTTAAAAAAATGTACTCTTGGACACCACATTAAGGAAATGGAGAGACGTGAACCAAAATTACAAGCATTCATTCAAAATCTATGGATTTGAACCATACCTGTATGGTTCCCTGTAAACATCCTATAGAGAACAAGCTGCACAGACTCACATTATCATAGGTAAATAATTAGAAGTAGGTCTGCAGCATGGAGGTGGTCAGAGCATTTAAAGTGTGAAATCTGGGGGAAAATACAAACTAAGTATAATCGAACATGTGTTCTTCCTATTTCCAAACAGGTTTTAGGTGTTTCTCAGTGTTTTTACACTTGTTTGCATGTTCTTTCTTTGTCTTTTCCATAAGTCCCCCAGTCCCACAACCTGCTAGATTATCAAGTCACACTCCAATGTACACTTTGCATCTATCCATTTTGGTACGCATTGTTCGCTCAACATGTACATTGTCAATGTGTGCAGTGATTCTTCTTTCATATCTTTTGTAAATTCTTCCTTCAATCAGTGAGGCTTACTAGACATGATATATTAAACATTTAAGGTGTTATTGCTAGAGCTTCCTTATCTGGACCAATAATCAGGAAGCTTTCCAAGAATGTAGTTTGTAATTGGAGAAGGAAAAAGGAGAATGAGGAAGAGGAAGAAGAAAGAGTCAAAATCATTGGAGCAGTCACCAGCCATGCTCCAGGAAGGGCAGGAGTGCTGAATCAACCCAGCATCGCATCCCTCAGTTAAGCAGGTTAGGTTCCCAGAACTGCCATTGCTCCTGTCAGTAAGGGAGAGCTTTGAGGCAAGATCACCACTGACCAGGATGCTACAGAAATAAAGACATCACATCAGGACCTTGAGGCCAGATGTTTACAAATGGTGTTCTCACCAAATGATCCCTATAGACTATTACACACACTAAGCACTTCAGACAGCAAAGTAAAGGGCCTTTACTCAATATTCACCTACTCTACTACTCCCCAATTGCCTGACATCACATCTAAAACACAAATCCTTAGAGAAATGCCTGACTTCTGCCATGTACAATTGGAGAATTTGCTGCCAAATGAGATGACTGTGTGAGATAACACAGTTTGGGTCATACCCTGAGATTCCCCTTCTGATTCTGAAGACACCCCACTCAAAGAGGCTGTTACCACATCACATCTAAAACACAAATCCTTAGAGAAATGTCTAAGAGAAATGTCTAGTGCAGGCACCAGAGTGGCAGCAGCCCTAGTGCCCCCAGCATCTCAGACAGGGTCATTTTACAAGTTGAGGTGATGAACTTGGAACTCAGAGTTCCTCACAGACCAGCTACATGAAAACCGGCCACAACATGAAGAGGGGCAGCCAATAGTCACAGCTTCCTCAAGTTAAGACATCCAGGCCTGAGACATGGAGAGAGGCATACTTCACACACACACACACACACACACACACACACACACGCACACGCACATGCACATGCACATACACAAACACACACACACACACACACACCATGGGTCTGTATCTATCTCTCTATCATCTATCTATCTACTATCTATCTATCTATCTATCTATCTATCTATCTATCTGTCTATCATCTCTCCACATATCTAAATAGGTTAGCTTTATGCTTTTTCAGTCTGATAGCCTTAGGTTCATTTCTCCTACTTTTACTCCATAATTTTCTAGGGTATTAAGTATAAATCATTGCTATATAAAAATGACAGGAAAGAAGAAAACTTTTGAACTTTTGTGTGATTCTTGATTCAGCAACGAATTAAGGAAGAGAGGTACAAGAAAGGCCCAAAGTGGATGCATCTGGAAGTTTTGCCCACCAACAAGTATCCCTGGGGATAGTCATTCAGTCCAAAATCTCTAATCCAATGCTGGGTGGGCAGAAGCTCAAGAGAGCAGTCTGAAGAAGGGAGGGAAGAAGGAAGTAAGTGGCTTTGTTATTTTACAATAACTTGGGTACCAAATACAATCATCCCTCAGTATCCATGGGAGATTGGTTCCAAAACCCTCCCAGAGATACCAAAATCCACAAATGCTCACGTCCCTTATATAAAATCAGATAGTGTTTGCATATAACCTATATACATCCTCTGGTATACTTTAAATCATCTCTAGATTACTTATAATAGCTAATACAATTCCTAAGCATCATTTCATTTGTGTGGAGTGGATTCAACATCGAACTTTACACACTGCAAATTCAAGTTTGCTTTTCAAAACTTTGTGGAATTTCTTTTTCTGAATACGTTTGACCTACGGTTTGTTGAATCCACAAATGTGACCAATGTGGAACCCACAGATATGGAGTACCGGCTGTATGTTTAAGGAACATAAAACTTCCCTCAGGCTAGAGACAGAAAGTAGCAGAATAACTTCTACACACTTCTCACCTCCCCCTGTTGAAAACTTTTGGGAAATTCTTTTTGTTTTCATCCATTAAGTTGATCCAAGATAAAAGTAACTTAGGTCCTCTGAGAACAGGAGCAACTAGAAGAGGATGATGAATGAGTCTATCTACCTGGCAGGAGATACACTCCCATTGAGTCTGAAAATCAGATCCAGAACATTTGTACCCAGACAGCTTTCAAGGTAGGATTTACAAAAAAAAAAAAAAATGGAAAGATGAATGGATGGATCAATTGATTGATCAACATATAGGTAGATTCTAAATATTGACAGATATTGAACTAATGCAATAAATAGGATATTATAAGTAAAAAACATAAAACAGGAAGCCTACTGCAGAGCATGAAACTGAAACCCAGCGTAAATAACTAACTTCACAACAACTCTGCCACACTTAGATTATGACAAACTCAGCATGTATTCTGGTGGGGAAGTGGCAGAAATAATGAAAAGTCTAAGACAAGATAATACATAATAGAGTCCTGAAAGTGTAGCTTTGGAGGGAAATCAGAGTTCTATAACAGGTGATAAGCAACGTCTTCCTTCAGTTCTGCTGGTGTGTCTTTGTGATTGTGCATAAAACCTTCTTTGAAGATGAGAAACTAAAATCTCACTTTGAGGACCTCCGTGACTGTGAGGCGCAGGCTTCATGGCCCCACCAATAGCAGTGACAGACTTGGAGTCAACTCAGAAATATCTTTCTTGTACTGTGGTGGAATCAGGCTGAACCTCTGGCCGCAAACTTCACAGGCACCAATTCTGCTTTCTAATCAAGGCTCAGATGTTTGGATGATGCAGTTAATGCTCTTACTCACCCAAGCCTTCTTTTTCCCGTAAGGCATCCCCAGTGCTTCGCATGACATAATTTTTAGCTCCTTTCCTGCCTGGTCTCTTTCCTTGCACCTACATACTGGGTGGGTTAATAGGGCAGGTCCAGAGAATCATTCCTAACCTGTGTCTGGGCAGAGATTTTCCATGGACAGCCTTGGGGAGAACTGGTTTTCTGCCCTGCCTTGTACCAGGGAGGCTCCTGCACTCGTAGTTTTCTTTCTGGTTATAGTAGAGGGGAATGAAAGGTGTTTAGTCACTGAGGATGAAAAGATTTGAGTGTTTATGAGCCTCTCCTACATGGGTATTTAACTTAATCACTTGGGCTTTTGTTGTTTGAGAAAGAACCCCATAGGAAAACCTGGCTTCTACAAGCCTTTTTGTTGTTGTTGTCATGTTCTCTTGGTTCCAAGGAAGTGTTCGTAATATCAGCAGCAACAAAAAAATTACTACCCCTTCTCCTCTTTTCCTTAATATGTAAGCTCTGACCCTGCACCCTCAAATAAGCAGAATTGGGCTTCTGGACAGCAGAGGATCATCCAAGAAGGGAGAAGCAACACATTTCACAGCCTCCAGACCATTGGGATGAAGACCCCCAAGAATAAATACGTATTTCATTCATCACTCATTCCCATATTAGCCCGCAGTATCAAGATCTGGAAGATCAAAGATGGGTTTTGAATGTAAGAAAAGAACAGCCCTACTCAGAACTCTCTTGGGACAACTGATACCATCCAAACAAAGACAGAAAATATCTTCATGTGCTCAGCACTGTGAGAAATTGAGTATCACAGAATGTGAGGGCAGTTAAAAGAACTACTGTACAAATCTACTTGATCGCTTCTGAAGAGTTTTTAGGAAAAAAAAATCCACTTGAAAATTGAC